TCCACAGCCGCTTAACATCATCACCAGGCCAGGTCACACTGTGCTCGGCGGGCACCCCTTCAACAGCCTGTGACCTCCTGGGGCCTTTCGAGTAGCCTGGCCCACCTGGGAAGTCAAGCAGGATGTGGGGCATCTTTAAATCCAGGGCTAAAGTGCCCTGGCCAGGTGGCTCAGTTGGTTGGGCATCCTCCCATGCATCAGGAGGTTGCCAGTTCGATTCTCGGTCAGGGGCACATGCCTGGGTTGCAGGCTCGATCTCCAGTAGGGGACCTGCAGGAGGCAGACGATAGATGTTTCTCTCTATCTCTCCTCCTCCCTTTCTCTAAAAAAAAAAAATCAGTAAACTATTCTTTAAAAAAAATAAACAATAAAAATAAATAATAAACCCAGGGCTGATGCACAGCCCGGGGCGGGCATGCAAGGAAACCTTCCAGGAATCCGGGCAGGGGTGTGGGTGTAAGGACCAGGCTTTGCGTGCTGCTAAGGGAGGCCAGCTCAGGAGGGCCTGGGCTCCCTCTCACACACTTTTCCTGTGTCTGTAGCTTCCAGAGCTGATGGGCTAGAACCAGGCATGGACTCTTAATTCTTAGTCCCGTCATTTCCAGGGGATGTGATCCCAGGGACGGCCTGGCCACCTGGAGGCAGCTGTGTGGTGTGGGAGGAGGAGTTTCTGAACTAGATTTAAATCCCAGCTGCACTGCTGACTTGCCACCTGGGGCCTTCTCTGAGCCTCAGTCCCCTGGTCTGCAAAATGGGATGAAGGCCATGGTCAGGTTTGCGTGTTTGTAAGGGCTTTGGGGCGGTAGCCTGACAGGTAGTGAGCCATCCGGAAGTGATAGCTGCTGTTCTTAGTTGTGGGGTGACTGGGAGGTACAGTGGGGTCACACAAAGAGGAATGCTGGGCTTTGGAATTTGGTCTGAGTTCAAATCCTCATCTAGATGAGTGCTTATTATGATTTTACACTGGGGTTGAAACTGTGCTGCTTTCCTACTAGTCTTTGATCACAGGCAAGTCACCATACTTTTCTGAATCTTAGTTTCTTCATGTAAAATGTGGGTAAAAATAACGATCTTGCAAAACTGTTATTCCTTCTGTGTTTAGAGTGAAATGAGCATTTATAAGTGGTAGCTAGCTACTTTATAGTATTTTACTATAACTTTTTCTACTCTACTATAGAATTTCTACTATAACTCTACAGTTTGTATGTAAGATAACTTGCCTTTAATTTAAAAAGATATATGCAGCCCTGGGTTCATTGCAGCATTACTAGTAATAGCCAAGATATGGAAACAACCTAAGTACCTATCAGTAGATGAATGGATGAAGAAATATGGTACGTATATACAACGGGATATTACTCAGCAATAAAAAAATAAAATCTTACCATTTGCAACAACGTGGATGGACCTAAAGGGTATCATGCTAAGTGAAATAAGTCAGAGAGAGACAAATAACATATGATCTCACTTATATGTGGAATCTAAATAAATTTAAAAAATGAATTAACAAAACAGGAACAAACCCATAGATACGGAGAACAAGTTGACAGATACCAAAGGGGAGCGGGGAGAGGAATGGGAATTTTAAAAATTAGGATCAACTAGCAATTTCTCTTTTGGGTACATACCCAAAAGAAGTGAAAGCAGGGTCTCCATGAGACATATGCCCATTTAAAAAAAGGGGTGGAACAGGTTTTGGAATGAGATTTTCATCTCAGCTCCATTATGTGCTAACCTGGTGACTTCAGAAGTTACCTAGACTTTAGTGTGCCTCAGCTTCCCTATGGGAAAAAACCCCCACAGTAAAACAAGTGAAATTAACTTAACAATATGTTTTAATCTCCCCCACTACATATCCAAAATATTATTTCAACATATAATCAGTATAAAAAATATAACAACGTATTTTACATTCTTTTTCTTTTTGTACTAAGTCTTCACACTGCAAAACAGCTCAGTTTGGACCGTGGCCACAATATAAATGCCACCTGTGGCTTGTGGCTGGTGGCTGCCGGGCAGTGCTGGGTTGGCAGGTCTGGGATATGGGAGCTGGTTGGGATGTGCAGTCCTGGACCTTTCCTCCATAGCTGGAACCCACCTTCTTGTCCCATCGGATGCGTGAACAAACCTGCCCAGCAGCAGACTGGTGAACCTGCCCCGGGAAAGGAGGCAACACGGGGGATTTCATTATCTGTGGGTCATGTGGTGCTTCTCCACTGGACACATCTTCCTGGATAGCAAGTTACTGTGTGCCACTTTTTTAGTTATTATTTCAAAAAATCAGAAATTTTTTTTTCAATTACCATGGACATACAATATTGTATTAGTTTTAGGTTCATAGCAGAGTGGTTAGGCATTTATATAACTTACGCAGTGATCCCTCTGATAAGCCTGGTGCCCATCGGCACCATCCGTGTGCCATTTATGGAGCATCTGGTGTGGCCTGGTCCACAGAGGTTACTAGATGCTTCAGATCATACATGTTTTATAATTTTTTCAGTTACTCCACAAGCTGGTTTTCTCACTCCATTTTGCAGAGGAGGAAAGTCAGGACATGAGAGATTAAGTGCCTTATCCAAGGTCATACAGCTAGAACCAGCAGAGCTGAGGCGCAACCCTGATTTCAGACCCTGTTCTGACCTCTGCTCCTGCTGTTTCCCTAATAGGACCCAACCCATTATATTCTCTAAATTTGAGAAAAATACACAAAGAATTTAATGTGTGCATGTGTGTGTGTGTGTGTGTGTACACATATACATATATATCAGTATATATACATACACATACACATATGTATGTACACATATATATAGAAAAAAAGACTGGAAAGCTATAATTGGAGAAAAATTATGACTTTAACAACAGTTCTATCAGAAAGGATGTGTTCCCTCACTTTCTCTCTGCCTCCCTGCCCCCTGCCCCCACATAGTGGGGACCAGTTGGAATGTCTAGGGCTGACTAGTTGCCATGAGTGTTGATGGGGGAGGGGGCAGAACAGGTGGAGTTTCCTTAGAACTCAGCTGTCTGTGACGTCTTCCGTTTCCCTGGTTAGGGACCCAGAGGCAGTGGGGTGGCCAGATGGCGGCTGCGGTTGGGAAGCTGGGACTCATCTAGGGTCTTCTCTAACCTGCCTGGACTGTTTGGTGGGAAAGAAGCCAGGCTGTGCCGTGTGAGCCTCATCCTTGCCTTCCTCTCTGCCGGGGACTGGTGAGCAATGACGTGGCCCCACAGTGGGTAAAGGGCTGGGAAGGTATGTGCAGCTGGCACAGAAGGATGGGACTATTTAGGCTTGGGGGTCAGGCAGATGTGGGTTGACCTTTGACCTCGCCACTCCCTCATTTTGTGACAGTGGCAAGGCTATGGATTTCCCATTTGTAAAAGCGATTCATCACTTTAGCCTGGGCTCTTTTCATTGGACGATACAGAGGTCCACTGGCGCCAAAAGAAGGTATCGTGTGAGACCTTTCCCAACTCTGTCTTCCTCCTCCCACAGTCACTCAGATGTCAATGTCATCTTCCTCATTGGTGGGACAGGCCCCCCGCTGCCCTTGGTAGTGCAAACTGGGCACACAGCATCCTGTTACAAAAGCCTCGTTGTTAGAGGCGTGGTGGCAAACACTGCTCTTCTGCCTCTGAGAGCTCCTGACTCCATGCTAGTCTCCCGGGAGAGTAGCACGGACATTTGTCTTTATTTTTCTGCCCCATATCCAACACCCACTCCTTCGTTGTGATTAGAAAACACTCCACCTACGATGGAGGTTGGAAGGCTGGGCTGGGGGCAGCTGGGCCTCGGCTCCGCCAGTCAGATGCTCATGGGAGCTGGTGATGCTGCAGAATTCATCCTGGAGGCAGTGACAGCTGCTGCGTCAAGTTTCCACGGGTAGAGGCGGTGGCCTCAGTGCCTGAGGCTCCAGTGTCCAGTGTCCAGGTGGTGCTACAACCTGTGGCATCCTCGTGGCCTATGGTGTGAGTTGGGCCACTCAGTACACACACACACACACACATCTATATAGGATTTATTTTTCCTCTAATTGATTTCAGAGAGAAAAAGGGAGAGGGAGAGAAACATCAGTGATGAGAGAATCATTTGATTGGCTGCCTCTTGCATGCCCCCTACCGGGGATGGAGCCTGCAACCCAGGCATGTGCCCTGACTGGGAATCGAACTGTGACCTCCTGGTTCATAGGGTGATGTTCAACCACTGAGCCACAGGGGCTGGGCGAGCACTCTGTTGCTTTTTAAAGCTAAGAGTCAGACTTGTATAGACCTGTTGCTCTGTAGTTATCCTGGGTTTTATTCCTCCCCAGACCCCTGTCTGCACTGCTTCACCACCCGAGCACCCTCCCCGGGCCACAGAACTTACGAGAACCCTGAGCTGAGAACCCTGGGTTAGGTGGGTGGCAGGACCACAGGCTTCGCCGTCTCCGTTCATTGGCTGACCCAGATTCCACTCTGGAAGGCTGGTGTGGGTGGTAAAGGAACCAACAGAAGATGGGGAAGCTGGTGCCCCCAAGCCCTCTTCAGTCCCAGGGAGGCTGCCCTGGCCTGAGATCAGGCACCGGGCAGGTGGTCAGCCACGGGCCTGAAGTCTGCAGGTTGCCTGCGGTTTGATCCTGGAGCTTGGCTGGGGAGACTGGAATCTAGCACAGCAGACTAAGCAGTTAGAGCCTCGGAAAGGAGAAGTGTGCCCCCCTCTCCGGGAAATGGAGGCAGTGAGGTGAGTGCTTTGGCAGCGATTGTGTTTCTGTGGAACTCAGGGCCTTGCCCAGCCACCAGCGGGGCAGAGAGGCGCTATCTCAGCACAGCTGTGACCCATTCGATGGCGGTGTTACCCTGGTATATCCAGCTCCCCGCCCGCCCACACTTAGGGGGGCTGACGCTGACCTCTGCTGTTCTTAACTCCTTATAAGTTGCAGATATTTCCCTAGCTTAGCGTTTGCCTTTAACTTGACGATTTCTCTTTCCTTTCGCTCCGTTCTTGATCATTGTTCTCTCTGCAGGAGGTTCTGTGCCTTGACCGGAGGAGTGTGGCCCTCTCTTCAAAACCCTCTCTGGACACGCCCTCCTAGCATCCCCCGGGAAAGATGCGGCAGCTCAAAGGGAAGCCCAAGAAGGAGACGTCCAAGGACAAGAAGGAGCGAAAGCAGGCCATGCAGGAGGCCCGGCAGCAGATCACCACGGTGGTGCTGCCCACGCTGGCCGTGGTCGTGCTCCTGATTGTGGTGTTCGTGTACGTGGCCACGCGCCCCACCGTCACCGAGTGAGCCGCAGGCGGGGGAGAGCCGCGGAAACATGGCTGGCGTTGTCAGAGATTTTCCCGATGCTGAGCTCTGAGCAGGAGCACCTGTCTTCTCTGCTCTTTGACTTGATTAAAGTTTTTCCACTTTTCTTGGGAGGGAATAGGGAGCGTTTTATCAGTGAATGTGCCATACACCTTATGGTCCACTTCATGTGCCTTTCAGACTTCAAAGCAGTGTGTGTGTGTGTGTGTGTGTGTGTGTGTGTGTGTGTGTGTGTGTGTGTGTTTCTTTCTCTCTCCTAAAACCCATGTGCAGCTCCCCCTGGTGAGAGGAGGGGCGTCAGGATCATGAATGAGTTGGAATCAGTGCTCACCCCACCCCCATTGTTTCAAACATGACTCTTTTCCGACATGTGTCCACAATTTCCAAAGGGACTGTATTTCTTCTCTGTGCTTAATGTGATTTTAAAGATGTCGACTCAAAAGTGAAATATTTATTTTTCGAATAAAGGAGATAATAGCCTTTAACCACTGGATGTTTATCTGGTTTTGCTAGAGGCGGCTCCCGCTCTGGGCCTTGGCCCCTTCCCCTGCACACCTCCTCTGAGGCTTTCTCCCCGACCCCACCCCCACTTCCTGCTGTGAATCACTTCCAGGAAAATTGTGCTTTTTGACCACATCATTTTAAGACAAAGAATCTGGAGAGGGCAGCAAGGGTGTGTTAATTGGTCTGTCTCAGCAAAATAAGAGTTCTAATTGGAATGGTGCTTTTTACAGCACATAGCAAACAGCGAGGAAGAGCTGGTCCTGGAGGGGAAGGTCAGGTTGGGTTCTGTTCTGGCTGAAAGGATGCAAATTGTTGGGTGGGCCACTGAGGGTCTGATGCAGCCTGGCCATGCTGGCAGGGGGGGGTCTGTGTTGTATCCTAAAGACATGGGTAGCTCTGTCCTGATTCCTGATGGAGCAGCCCCTTTTTGGAAGTCAGATTTCCCGGACTCTGCCGAGGGCCTATTCTCCTG